TTGATTTTGAATAGTGATAGGATGGGAAATGTGTGGTTGAAAAAGAAGAAAAAATTATTGACGTGATGAAAAATATTATTTTATTGAAGAATGTGTGGTTGAAAATGAGAATTGATTTACTGTAGAAAATTTTAATTCCTCCTAAACAGGGCCTTACATTGCATGCCCGATACTAATGGCTATTTTTTAGTGGATTTCATGCAAAAGTTATTTGCACAAAAAATGATTAAAAGGAAAGGTTTGAGAGCATTTTTGCTACCTTCAAAAATTTTGGACCAAAAATGCAATTTGAACAAAGGTTTGGAATCATCTGTACCTATTTTCTTTATCGTTTTTAACTTTTCAACAATAAATAAAATATCTCTGATTCACTTTTGATTCGACTTAATTTCAATAACGTCATTAAAGTTCGAGAAGATTTTTAAAATTAGTTATTGAAGTATTTTTGCGATCTCTTTAACCGTTAAAGTTAAGAAAAATGATGTTTTACCAGAACTGTTCATTGCCAGAACTTCTACAGATACTCACATGCATATAGGTCTCACTTGAATAAAATATTAATAAAAAATATGGGCACCACATGTTTGTCTCTTTTCTGGATTTTTTCGTTTCTGTGAGTGTAGATGAGTTCGTTAAATACTGTTACATAGTTGGCAATCTTTTAGCTTATTAATGTTATACTAGGCGTAGTAGCTGTTAAATGTTCATGTAAACGAACTATCGTTAATTCATTTCAATCAACTTCTTATATAAGCTTCGTGCATTGTTTTTACTATTTAATAGTGGTGAGCGTTAGGATTAAAATGAGTTATCTGAATCTTTTCGCTAAACTTGAGATTCTAATGCTAAGAATCGTGTTTTATTTTGAGTATCTATAATTTCATGGCATTGATGCAATTATCATTAGTCAATATCAAAGTTTAACGCACATACGTCGAATCTAGAGTGAATGCCACTGAAAGAGTAATCAATTATGTACTATATTTAAAAAGTGTTTAATAGGTAATGAAAGTACTTTAACGATCAATTTGAATTTCACTTGAACTTCAATTACTATTCGTGAATTAACTCGATATGAATCTTAACTATTAGAAGAATTTCACCATGGGTCCTCAATTTAAAAAAAAGTGTAATTTTGTCATCAACCTTTTATAATTGCAAATCTCCATTAAGCTGTCACGTGAGTGACCCTTTACGGGTTCAACTTTATGTAACTGAGTTTTGTTTTTGACACGAATTGGTATCTAAAAAATTAGAGTAACATATAATCCCATGAGGGTTTATGATAATTAAATTAAGATTCAAATAATTTTCATTTTTATGATTAGTTATGAAACTTTAACAATAGATTGAACACCAACTTGCTCCACTTTAAAAGTTGGACATCGACTTGCTCGAATGAAGTTATAAATTTTGTAGTTATGCAAAAGACAAGAAATACAAAAGTAAACTAGTTTTATATTATATGTAATGATCCAAGCCGTGTGCAGCACGATAGAAAATCGTGAGGGGTAAGATGGATTCAAATTCCCTCAAAGCGAATGGTACGTAAGTTAACGATTTGAACACGGGACCCAAGTCATTACATGTAAAATTTGTAATATTCGTAGAAAAATAATTTCTAAGATTCAATCTATAAAAAAACAATTGAATTAATTAATAACTAATTGAAATATGATAAACTATCAGATGTACAATGGGGACAATGCAATGGGTACCACTCTTTCCTGAGTGAAAACCGCTTGCAAATATCTTGCGGCCGGGGGAGCTTTTGATGGGTCTTCCTTCACGTCTATAGGTCCAAGTTTTCAAGATATAAATTAATGTTAAATCAAATTGAAATCGCCTTTTTAAATAGTAAATTTGGTGACACGTGGACCCATCAATTAAACAAATTTTAACTAACCCGAACCGCAATACCACCGTCAAACAATTTTATTTTCTTTTTACACATAGAACATACTCGACTAACGGAGATCCATACGGTGTAAAGATCTTTAGTAATGTCACCCTCATGATAGAACACATAACTAATACACATTAGGCATAACTTTACCAAAATGCCCTTGTTTGGTCGGCATTTTATAAAATTCATTTTCAACTATACCCATACAGGACCATGCTAGTGGTACATCAAACTTTACATCGGGGGTTACACCCCCTCACATGGGGGTGGGGTCCACTCGAATAAAAAAATATTATTTTAGTGGATCCCACCCTCATGTGAGGGGGTGTAACCCTTGATGTACACATTTGATGGACAAGTGGTATAACCCTATTTTAATTAGAATTTTAAGTTGAACTAAGCAGGGGATTAGGGGCCTGTTTGGTACAGATTTTCATTTTCTACAGTAAATCAATTTTCATTTTCAACCACACATTTTTCAATAAAATAATATTGTCCATCACATTAATACTTTTTCTTCTTTTTCAACCACACATTTCCCATCATATCACTATTCAAAAATCAATTCTTCCCTCAAAAATCCCTACCAAACACACTCTAGGGGTACTGACTTGATTTTAATATGTTTTCATTTTGCCCCTCCAACTTAGTCTTGTTGTACATATTCATCATTTCCTCTTTTTTAAGCGCTCTTTACCAGTCCCCGGTGTCGTCTTCCAGAATTTTTACAGAAAAAAGTCTAAACCCTTCTCCTAAACCAACCTTTTCTCAACGAGCAATAACTCACCTGCAACAATGGTGGATAGTAACCCTTCGCTTTCAACCCACCTTCTTTGATTACAGCATTTTACATCAGAAATCAGAAACCAAAGGAGCAGAAGGTTAAGGAATTCGAAATATAAATCCCAAAGATGAGCACGGTCGATAAGATGCTGATAAAGGGTATCCGGAGTTTCGACCCGGAGAACAAGAACGTCATCACGTTTTTTAAACCTTTGACTCTAATCGTCGGCCCAAACGGCGCTGGCAAAACGGTAACTTCGCCCACTTCTATTCACACACGAGTGTGTATGCTGGTACATAAATCGATCATAACGCAGAAAAAAATTGGAGCTTCTTTAATGTAGCGTTACAAACTGGGCATTAAGAATGGGACCTTTTTTTAATCATAAATTTCTGGTGCGCCCGAACAAATGTAGCATCGCAATGTTGTAACTAGTGCGAAAAAAATTGTACCCCACACACTTGAACAGGTTGGTTCTCTGGTTTAACTTCCATTCTCTGTGTGATAATGAATGCACCATGCACAAGTTGTATTTGTTTTATTTCCCCACCTGCGCCCAATCCACATGTTAACCATGCACATCCATACATACACCGATACACGGGCATGGGCATCCCACAAAATTGCAGCATAATATTTATGGTACCTCGTACATCAGGAGTAGCGCCTCTATTAGTTTGATTAATTCTCTGCAGGTGCATTGAACCCGTGTTTATACCAACCGATTCTGGAGCAAATGCTTGCAGAATCACAATCTCATGTCATAAATTGGTTGTCGTACTCCATTTTAATTTACTTGGCCTGCTTAAATCTCTTTGGAAATATTTTTGTAAATATTGCAGCATAACGGCGCCATACACTGTGCATCAGCGACCGTATACACATATAGATGTCACATAACACGGTTACACAGTTGCGCAATGCGCATATTCAAATTTTACTTCAACTCGTAGTATTTGTGATGTATTCATCTACACACAACATAGATATATGCATACCCAAATGCGCACAATCACATTCCAAGAAACCAGCTGTAGCATCACATTTCTGCACATCATGCCACAGTTGAAACCCATTTCTAATTGTTAATTATCTACAAATGTAAGTCCAAAGTGACAAAAGAATTGCCAAAATTCCATTCTGTTAGCTTATCTCACAAGTCTATCCTCCACTTGACTTATCGAAATCTATCCTTTCGTTATCTCAGACTATTATAGAGTGCTTAAAGGTTGCCTGCACTGGCGAATTGCCCCCTAATGCACGGTCTGGTCACAGTTTCATTCATGACCCCAAGGTATGTGTGTATGGTTTGTCGACGTGGCGAAAGATTTTTAGGCGTATGTATATAATTATGTAAGAGTTATGGTGAATTTAGGTGGCAGGGGAGACAGAGACAAAAGCCCAGATAAAGCTTCGGTTTAAGACGGCAGCGGGTAAGGATGTGGTTTGCATAAGGTCTTTCCAGCTGACCCAAAAGGC